ATAAGACATGCTGTTTTACAGAACAGAGCAGCTATAGATTTTCTATTACTGGTTCAGGGGCATGGATGTGAAGAGTTTTAAGGCATGTGTTGTATGAATCTTTCTGATCACTCTCAGTCCATTTACCAAAAACTAAAAGAAATGCAAAGTCATTTAGATGACTTTAAAGTCTAAAAGGATCCTATTAGGGAATGGTTAGCAAAGTTAAGCTTAGAACCATGGCTCGCTGAAATCACTAAACAAGCTATTTCACTCTTGCTGATATTGTTAGCTGCTTTATGCGTTGTTCCTTGTGTTTTTAAATATACACAGAACATGCTAACGAAGGCAATGAATGATGTATTTTTGACATTATCAAAAGAAAACGGGGGAAAGATAGATAGATTGATTGATAGAAATCAACCTATAGATTGATTGATAGAAAGAGGACACGAGAAAGATGCTGTAGCTCTGGTCCCACGGTAAGGGAAAACTATTAGAAGGTCACTGTATCTGTGAAACTGCATACGTGACAGAAGAATAGAATAAAAGCGGATGGGAAAGCAGAACAAATAGCAAATAAGTAACTATAAGAGTATGAAACAAAACAGCATTCACAGAGCATTTGCACAAATATATTTTAGGTAATCAGAAGCCAATGATGAGCTTAGCTTTTGTAATATGTATGAGGCTAATTATTAAACCTTTATAAGCACAAAGCCTGCAGCAATAAAGTCGGATAAGTTATGATCAATTCTGTGGTTGTGTGTTTTTATCCCGTCGTCTACAACAACTACACCTCAAGCCAAAGGTTCCAGACTTTTTTTCCTTAGGGAAAGGACTGATGTTCCCTTTTTTCACCCCTATGCTGCAATAACCAGTCCCACCTCCTGAAAAATTTACTCCAAATGAAGATTCCTGCCAGACAAAAGGTACCACCACAGAAAACTCTTCCTGCCCAAGAAGTAACCAGGCTGCGCCAACTACACTTGAAGACAAAGCTTCCAGACTTTTTTCCTGGTGGAAAGAGCTCCTGTTCCCTTTTTTCTGCCCTTCTCTGCAATGACCTGTCCCACCTCTTGGAAAATTGAATGTAAATGAAGATTCCTGACAGACAAAAGGTACCAACACAGAAAGCTCTTTGCTGCCCAAGAAGTACCCAGGCTGTCCAAACAACTGCACCTCAAAGCCAAAGCTTCCAGACTTTTTATCCTGGTGGAAAGGGCTGCTGTTCCCTTTTTTCAACCCTGCGCTGCAATGGTCTGTCCCACCTCCTGGAAAATTGAATCCAACTGAAGATGCCTGCCTGACAAAAGGTGCCAGCACAGAAAGCTCTTTGCTGCCCAAGAAGTGCCCAGGCTGTCCAAACAACTGCACCTCAAAGCCAAAGGTTCCAGACTTTTTTTCCTGGTGGAAAGAGTTGCTGTTCCTTTTTTCAGCCCTTCTCTGCAATGGCCGGTCCTACCTCCTGAAAAATTGAATCCAAATGAAGATTCCTGCCAGACAAAATGTGCCACCACAGAAAGGTCTTCCTGCCCAAGAAGTGCCCAGGCTGAACCAACTACACCTGAAGCCAAAACTTCCAGACTTTTTTTCCTGGTGGAATGGGTTGTTGTTCCCTTTTTTCAGCCCTGCTTTGTAATGGCCAGTCCCACCTCCTGGAAAATTGAATGTAAATGAAGATTCCTGCCAGACAAAAGGTGCCACCACAGAAAGCTCTTTGTTGCCCAAGAAGTGCCCAGGCTGCCCCAACAACTGCACCTCAAAGCCAAAGCTTCCAGACTTTTTTTCTTTGTGGAAAGAGCTGCTGTTCCCTTTTTTCCTCTCCTGCGCTGCCATGACCTGTCCCACCTCCTGAAAAATTGAATCCAACTGAAGATTCCTGCCAGACAAAAGGTGCCACAACAGAAAGGTCTTCCTGCCCAAGAAGTGCCCAGGCTGCCCCAACAACTGCACATCCAAGCCAAAGGATCCAGACATTTTTTCCTGGTGGAAAGAGCTGCTGTTCCCTTTTTTCTGCTCTGCGCTGTAATGGTCGGTGCCACCTTTTAAAAAATTTACTCCAAATGAAGATTCCTTCCAGACAAAAGGTTCCAACATAGAAAGTTCTTGCTGCCCAAGAAGTACCCAGGCTTCACCAACAACTACATCTGAAGCCAAAGATTCCAGACTTTTTTTCCTTAGGGAAAGGGCTGCTGTTCTCTTTTTTCAGCCCTGCGCTGCAATGACGGGTACAAGTTCCTGAAAAATTGAATGTAAATGAAGATTCCTGCCAGACAAAATGTGCCACCACAGAAAGCTCGTTACTGTCCAAGAAGTGCCCAGGCTGCCCCAACAACTGCACCTGAAGCCAAAGGATCCTGACTTTTTTTCCTGGTGGAAAGAGCTCCTGTTCCCTTTTTTCAGCCCTGCACTGCAATGGTTGGTCCCACTTCCTAGAAAATTCAATCCAAATGAAGATTCCTGCCAGACAAAAGGTGCCACCACAGGAAACTCATGCTGCCCAAGAAGTGCCCAGGCTGCATCAACTACACCTGAAACCAAAGCTTCCAGACTTTTTTTCCTGGTGGAATGGGCTGCTGTTCCCTTTTTTCAGCCTTGTACTGCAATGGCCGGTCCCATCTCCTGGAAAATTGAATCCAAATGAAGATTCCTGCCAGACAAAAGGTTCCACCACAGAAAGGTCTTGCTGCCCAAGAAGTACCCAGCCTGCCCCAACAACTACACCTGAAGTGATACAGGAGGCTAGTCCCAAAAGAGTTAACTAAGAAATTTGGGCCTGAAAACACGTTACCAACATTCAAAACGATCTGTGCTCGTTCTGTTCTGCTTACTGCACCAAAGCTTAAGAAAAAAGTACAAGAACATGTAATAGGCCTAGAAGCAATAAATTAGAAATACAGCAGGATCAGGTAGACATTTGAATAGGAGAAATAGGCCTGGAGCCAGGGCCTTTTCCAAGCTTCAGTGAGCGGGTCAAGAACAATAGAAAGAGAGAAGGGTCAAGCTGAGGAAGATGAGTTGAAGCCCTCTGCCCCATGGAGGAAGATGGGAATGACCCCTCCAAATGGGGTGCCAAGAGAAGCACCGCCCCAAAATCCGCCTATACTCTGCCTATTATTAATATGTATTGATAGATGTTGTAATTGTTTGAATATGCATTTAATCACATCTGAAAATTGTATAAAAGTGTCGATTCTCTGAGGAGCCATTGAGCAAGTTTTTCCAGCAATAGCTGGCTTGCTCCCAGCGCTGCTAATAAATACCTTTGCTGCTCAAAAGATCAAAAGTCTCTGGGCAGTTTCTCGGACTGATTTTTCGGATTCAGGCAGGGACAGGGGTGGAGCAGCAACAGCAACAGCCGGAGAACAATCACCCTCCCCACATGGGTGCCCAAGAAAGGGGGAACTCATCCCAAATATCGTGGGGGGAGTGCTGGGGGTCATGACATACTCGGGCTGCCAGCACAGATTTCCCTGCAAAGTCTGCAGGCAGTCAAGCTCTGCAGAGGAGATTGTGCCCCATGCATGGGATTGCAGAGGCTCCCTCAGGTCCCAAGCAGGAATCAGCAACCAGGAATAGACACAAAAGGCCCCCCTGAAGATTTCTGGGGGAGTGTCCTCTAGGGAGGGGACAATGTCACCCCACCAGGGCAGGCCTGACAAGTGGGAGGCTGCTCCAGGGCTCTGCAAGAGGCCTCGTGCTCTGCTCAGCCCCAGCACTGCCTGGTACCAACACCCCCGGCTGCCCCCGGCCCTGGGCACCCCCGGCTGCAGGGGAGTATGGCAGCAGCTTCAGCTCCACGGCACTTCTTGGGGGGAGCTCAGCACGGGGGGGACAGGCAGGGCCCTGATGGGGATGGACAGGGGCCCAGCAGGGACAGACAGGGCCTGCAGGGGAAGGCACACAGACAACCTGGCCCACCACACTGCCACGGCTCTCTCTGCTCCTCCTTGCAGGCTCTGTGGCCAGGCACAGTTTGTGTTCCTGGGTGCCACCATCTCAGCACTTGCAGCCGCTCAAATCAGCGCCCGCAGCTCTGCAGCAAAGCCCCAGCTCACCTGGCACACAGGGGATGGAGACACCACCTTCTCGGGGATGGGCAAACACAGTTTTGTCTTCTTCCCCACCACGGCGCTCTCCTTCCTCAGCAGCACCTCTGCCTTGCACTTATTCTCAGCCTCACCTCAGGGCCTGGGCTCAAGGACAGGAACCTGCAGGGAGGGGACATGATGTGCAAGCTGAGGGCTGCCTGCTTGCACTGGAGCTTTAGCCTTCTTTCTCCTTCTACAACCATCCCAGAACTTAGCCTGCTTTGCTAACACCACACATTTACACACTAACCTTGGAGATAGATATGGACAGACATCTCTAACACCCTATGGATAGAGCCTCAAGCATGTGCTGCCACAGGAATGGGAATCACAGAATCACAGAATCAACCATGTTGGAAAACACCTCCAGTCTATAAATATACACGGATACAAGATAGATACAGACACACACAGGTCCTGGGAGGAGCTGAAGACACCCCACCAGGAAGAGAGACTTTTGATATGGGCCTGGAGGGACAGGACAAGGGGCAATGGTTTTTAGACTGAAAGAGGGCAGGGTTAGATGGGAGACTGGGAAGAAATCCTTCCCTGGGAGGGTGGGGAGGGGCAGGGATGGAATTCCCAGAGAAGCTGTGGCTGCCCCTGGATCCCTGCAAGTGTCCAAGGACAGCTTGGATCAACCTGCTCTAGTGGAAGGTGTCCCTGCCCATGGCAGGGGATGGAATGAGAAGACCTTTAAGGTCCCTTCCAACCCAAACCAGTCCATGATTCTATACAGACAAATACACACAAGACCATTTATTCTGCTACTTCAGACTAATGAAATCTAAATGCAAAGCTCTCAAAAATTGTCCTTGGTTCATTTTACATTTAAGCAAATTGCTCCTCCAGGAAAGCTTCCCCCCTAAAGCAGGAATGCAGCCCAAAGCACCCTGGAATTCCAAGTCAAGGTCACTGTGCCACAGCTCAGAATCCAAACTCAGTTCAAGAGAACACATTGTTTGCATTTCACGTTGCCACATTCCAGCACCAGACACCAACACTCCAGAGAGGGACAGCACAAGGGGCAGTGGTTTTAATATAAAAGAGGGAGGTTTAGAAGAGAGGTTGGGAAGAAATTCCCAGAATTTTGTTAGAAAGAGAAATGTGTTCTCACCTGACAGCGCAGCTCGGACTTGGGGGGTGTTGCCAGCAGGAACTGGACAAACTCCTTCTGAGAGGTGGGAGAGTGATCCTCAGCTGGCTGCGAATCCTGTTGGGAATGTTGTTCAACAGCTGACACAGACAGCACTAAATTACACATCCCCTGCAAGAGCAGGGCAGGTGCATTCAGGTCTCCAAACAAATTACCTTCAGGGCTATTTCCAGTTGTTCAAATATCAAATCGATACCAAAAAACCTGGTTTCCTGCAGGACACCTGGAAACAAAGAGTTTGTTATTTCCAGGGAACTGTTAATCCAGAAACCACCCCTGTCCCTACCGGAAAAAACCACAGACAATGTATTAGATGTAACTGGGCAGAGGAAAAGCTTGCTTGCAGCTGAAAGGAAAAAATCATAGAACCAGGCTGTTTGCAACACCAGCATTGAGTTAAAAGTATCAGCTCCAGAATTCCAGCCAAACATGAATTCAGGATGGACAACTTTTAATGCTCCCAAGATGAACAAAGAACCTGTCTTCATTAAATCAAACAATACCTTCATTAAATCAAGCAACACCTTCATTAAATCAAGCAACGTGGAGCTGCAATGCTGTAAGGGGGGTACTTTTGAATTAGATGATCAATGGAGCATAGAGGTGTGAGAAAGAAACTATATTAGGATGTGAAACCAACCAGAGTATTGTACAATGTAACTTTATGGCACAAGTGAACTGAAAGGTCCATTGTGTTTTTTAGCAAGTCAACGAGATGTGCCCCATGATCAGAGCTGAGTTCCTCCTTGGCTTGGCCCCATACTGCAAGGTGGACACAAATACCCTTGAAACACAATGGTGAGAAAGATGATGGTGAGAGGCAGATTCTGTGGGCAGGGGTCGCTGGCCCCTTGCCCTACAGCAGGGCAGGCACAGACTGTTGCTCTCAGGTGATGAACAGGCGGGGTTTGGCTGCCATTCAGGCATCACCTTATACTGGGTACTGGCCCTACGTGGTGTAATGTGGAGCTGATAAAATGGGGTGTCAGGACTGCTGGGGTGAGTGATCCTCATCCTGCCACGGAGACTCTGTTGTTCCATGGGGACGCCCGCTAAGCATGGGCACCGACCAGCTGCTGCAGATCCTGACAGCCCTGGCCTGTCTGTGTGGGTAAGCACAGTTTATTGAGAGGAAGGAACCGAGAAAGCAAATGTTTTATATCCTTTTTTGGTATCCCTTTAATTCCCTTTTTACTAGCTAATACTGTAATAAAAGCTGTCTGTATTATTGTATGAATGCCAACCGATAATGTATTCTGTATTCTCTTTTAGCTTTTGATTCGCTTTGCTAGTAGATTTTTTTATTCTCACTGCAATAAAAAATTTTTATTTTTTTTTTAGTGTTTGAATGTCTGTTGTACTTGTCTTTATTCCGGGCAAGTATTGAAATGAACTAATACTCCATATTCTACAGTCCTTTTGCCACCCGTAACCAGTGACTCTGAGTTCCTGCTTCCCCAGCCCCAGGGACAGTCTCCTTGTCTGCTCATTCCTCCACACTCTCTTCTCACTGATGGCATCTTAACCAGACAAGCCCCTGAGAATAATTTACTTGTAAGTCTTCAATTCTTTTGTGGTTAATTAGACAGATCTCAGAAGTGCATTCCAAGTCAATATATTGTATTAACAAAACCATGAGAAAAGATGTCTTTTTTGTGGCCTGTTTACTTTTTTTCTGTTTTTACATTGATATCAGCAATCTCAATTTGATAGTGATCCTGGGTACCTCCTAATTCAGTCTGAATAGATACGAAAATTAGGACTCTTTATGTCTGACAATCCATCAGACTTTATGCCTATCCCCACCCCACCATTCCCTCATCAAACCCCTGGGACTCAAAGCAGCCTTGGGCAAATCTGAGCTTTCTCCACTCAAGGCTGGACCTGCAGGTTTCAGCTCCTTGGCACCAACTCCCACCTGCTTGGCTTGGAGAAAGAGCTGCCCAAGACACAGAGGGATGTTCATTTATTGCCAGCAAAAAAAAGCCAGAGGAAGGCACAGCTCAGTAAAAACCAAAAGTCTTTCCCCTGCTGTATGTTAAGTCCACCCTGCCTCCACTGAGTCCACTTTGAACAGTAGTCTTAGACCAATGGCAAACACCTTCTCTGTCAAGCACAGATCCCAAGATCCCCCAAACACTCCCTGCCCTGGATTCTGTCCATATTTGCCCTTTGCACACAGTGAGTCAGTCACATGCTGAAGTCACAAGATCCCTCAGTCCACAGTGGGAGGAAAAGAGAGAAAATTAATTAAATACTCTATTGTGCAGAGTGAAATCTGAACTCATCCCAGTATTCTGGGGTTACAGGAACTTTATCAAACACATTTTGCAGCATCTGTTCACTGGGCAAACATGTGTGTGGATGGCCAGGCCCAAGGAGTGGTGGGCAATGGAGTTCCATCCAGTGGTGTTCCCAGGGCTCAGCACTGGGCTCAGGGCACTTCAATCTCTTTCTCAATGATCTGCACAAGGGGATGGAGTGCAGCCTCAGGCAGTTCCCAGAGGACACCAAGCTGGGGGGGAGTGTTGATGTGCTGGAGGGCAGGAAGGCTCTGCAGAGGGATCTGGACAGGCTGGATCCATGGGTCCAGGCCACTTGGAGGAGGTTCAACAAGGTCAAGTGCCAGGTGCTCTACCTGAGACACTTTCATCTGCTCAGTCCCATCCCCCTGTCCATTGTTGGATGTCACTTAGCAGCCCAACTCTTGGCTCCCTATGCATCTCCAGGATGGACTTTCACAGCCAACCTCTCTGCCCGGGTGGCAGGAGGGCCTACCCTGATAAGGCCTAAAATCCCATCAGACAATGCCAACAGTGCCGGCTCTCCTGCAAGCTGTCTGTGAGATCTGAGAGTTACCTGTGGCACCATGGGAATGGTTTTGGTGTTGAATGATGCTCAAACCAGCCTGGTTCACCCAACTGCAAACACACATCCTGCTTTTGGAAGTTGGATGGGACAGAGAAGCTGGTAACTGACCTGTCCATTTGTGAGGAGCAGTCAATCACTTCCTACTAGAGAAGTCCAGTCTCCTTTCATACAGGCAGGTTCTTCTAACACAACCCTTCTTGGGGTAGATGTGTGGAGATTCCTGCCTTGGGTGGGGACGCCCTCCAAGGACACTCCTCAAGGTTGAGCAAAAGAAATCTCCCCACAATCGTTGGTCTGGGTGAGTTACATCAGAACTCTACTTAATATTTATTTCTTTTGGCTACCTTTAATATAATTACTTTGATAATTGCTTCCGTTTCATGCACTATCCTATCTTATACCATACTACCAGTAGTTTTAGCTTTTACACTGTGTAGTAAATAATTCTGATTTAGATCTTTTGTCTGATCATTTGTAACAATAAATGATTCACTTTATATAAATACTGTCATTTGGCCAATCATTAAAACCTATGGGACAAAAGTGATTCAGTCCCACTTCTGTAATTCCTTAAATTTAATTTGTTGACAAAATCTGAGGCAAAGATTGAATCCTGTATTCCTTGAGGCTCCGCAGTGGGACAATGGCTCCTTGATTCCATCATTTTCCCCAATGTCACAATGGACCCTTGATTCCATGAGGTTCCACAGTGTCACAATGGTCCCTTTGACTCCAGAAGGCCTTGCGGAATCAGAATGGCCCCTGGATTCTGTGAGGTTCCACAAGGTCACAATGAACCCTTGATTCCATGAGATTCTGCAGTGTCCCATTGGTTCCCTTTGGTTCCAAAAGGTTCTGTGATGTCACACTGGCCCCTTGATTCCCTGATGTTCCACAAAGTCCCAAGGTCCTTTTGATTCCATGAGGTTCCACAGTGTCCCATGTTCCCTTTGGTTCCAGGAGGCCCCAGTGTATTCCAACGGTCCCTTGATTCCATGAGATTCCACAGTGTCCTGGGGTTCCCTTGTCTCCCTGAGTTTTGGCAGTGTCCCGGGGTCCCTTTGTTCCCAAGAGGTTCCCTTGTTTCCGTCAGGCCCTGCCACATCCCAGACTCCCTTTGGTTCCATGAGGTGCTGCAGGGTCACAATGTCCCCTTCATTCCATGAGGTTCCACTATGTCTCAGGGTTCTTTTGGTTCCATGGGATTCTACAGGACCAAAACTCTCTGGTTCTTATTCTTCCAACATTTGTGGGCCCATTCTATCCCTGCCTGGGATGGAGCACCATTGTGTTTCTGCAGGAATGGATCCATGGCCATCCTGCCACTGCACCAATTTAATGCTGCAGAAACGTCACTGTAGGCCCGACACTGGATGCAGGAACAGTCTGGGAACTCCAGGCCTGCTGACATTCAGCAGAGCCAGTCGGGGTCCCAAAGAGCACAAGGGATTGACTGCAACCCCTGCAGTTCTCTGGCATTGCTGGGGACAAATGCATGAACTGCCAGGAGCTCTGCAGAGCCCTGACAGTGCCACTGCAATCCCAAGCTGCATTGCCCGGCTCAACACTCAGCACAGCCAAGGCCACAACCCTTCCTGAAAGGTGTCCCTTCTGGGCAGGGCCAGGGGGACAAACCCCTCCATCTGTCCCTGCACATGTTGTGTCCAATTCTCATCCCTCACTTAGGGACAAAGTCAGACTACACTGTGTGTTTAGCTTTGCATTTGCTTCACTCTTTTGTGCTTCCAACACACACACACACACCCCAGTGTGGGCAGAGTCTGGTCCCCCAAAGAACACAAGACCTGACTATTTGTGGTTCCTGCTGCAGGGGCTGGAACTTGGGCCACAGTCTGTGCCAGGAGCAGAGAGGTCCCTCCCCACAGAAACTTCTTGGCAATGGAGTTATTAAGAAAAAGGGACAAGGTGTGGGGATCAGTGTCAGGGCATGGCCTGGGAAGTGTCTTGAGCATCCTCCTGTTTACCATGATCAGCTTTTTCATCCCTTTTCTCTCTGCTTTCTCACACTTGTTCCTTCACAAACCACCATGATCCCACCATTTCCCTTCCTTTGGTTCTTCCCTAGAGATCCCACAACAAGTCTTGCACAGTCCCCAAATGTGCTTTCTTGTTGCCCATCATAAGACTCACACCCCAAACAGAATCCCCCATCTTCAACTGGCAAGGTCATCCTAGGAGGCTCTGCCATTGATCCATTTGGTGAAACTTTCACACAGAGATGTTTGAACTTTATTTAAATTGATTTTTTACCTTTTGGGTTTGCAATGGCTTCTCCAAAAACATGGTAATTCATGCCCTAGCAACAGAAATTCTTTGGAGAAGGAGTTTGGGAGTCAAAGAATCACAGAATGGTTTGGTTTGGAAGGGACATAGAAGCTCATGTGGTCCAAGTCCCTGGACATGGAGAGTGACATCTTCACTAATTGAGGCTGTTCAAAGTTCCTGACCTTGGACAGATTCAGGGATGGGACATCCTCTTCTGTTGCAGTTCTTGCCAGCCCCACTGGTAAGTATGTCTTCATTTTATCCAAAATAAAGCTCCCCTATTTCAGTTCAAAGTCATTGCCCCATGTTCTGACACTACAGGCCTTGGTAAAAGATATCCCTATGACTATCTTAGACCATGTTTTCATCTGCAGACACCTTGGAGAGTGCTCAGAGATGTCCCAGAAAGGGGTTTGGAGGTCTCAAGGATATGACCACTCTACAGGGGCAAAGGAGTGGTGGGTTCAGTGGTGTGCAGACAGAGGACAGCAGAGAATAACCCTGGGAGTGCTTGAAGAGTCACTTCAGAGAGGGTGGATGCTTTTGTCATAGCACAAAACAGCATGAGAAAGAAACAATTAATGCCAAGTGCAGCTGGGGAGGCCCAGGCTGGTATGAGGAAAAAAGAATTTTACTCCAAGGGCAGTGATGTGGTGCAACACATCACCCAGAAGAAGTCTGGGTGAGCCCAAGTCTTTGTGTGTGCAGGAGGAGCCAAGGAGGGCACAGAGATGTCAGTGCAGGAAGGTGCCAGCCAGGTGGGGCAGCCAGTGGGATGACGACAGCCTGCAGGGAAAGGGGCAGGGCATGGACACCGTAGGACAGCCTGGGCTGGAGAGGAGACAGGGATGGGGAGAAACTGAAAGGCCCTGACACAGCCACCTTCTGCAGGCCTTTGGCCATGGCTGCTGTCTGTGCCCCTGATGCCAGGAGGAGGGGAGTGGTCCTTGCAGCCCTGGGGCCTCATGGCCTCCTTGTCCCTGCTCAGCAGCCTGGCAGGTGCCATCCCATGGTCCTGCCCTTGGCATTGCACATCCCACATCCCAGTGCCCCAGGAAGAGCCCTGAGGAATGAGGCAGGGGCAGGATCTGCCTTCCCAGGGGCTGGGGGTCAGGCCTTGGCCCTTTGGATTAAAGAAACAAGTCAAAGTTTATTCCGCATTAGAGCCACCTTTCCCTTGCTTGTCCATCCTTGTCATCACTGTCTGCAGTTTTCTGTTCCAACTGGAATCTAGGGACACTTTCACAGTCATGTCCTTCAGTGGGACTCAGTACAAGAAACTTCAGTATTTCAAACTCATTTTGACTTCTTGAGAAGTTGTTTGAACTTCCTCTCAAGGACTGAGTGTCATGTAAACAACACCAATCCCCCTGAGGGTCACTAAATGCTCGGGGCTGTTGCTGTGCTGCTGAGCTGGGCCGGGCTCCTGGCACACAGGGAGCTCCTGGCAAGCAAGAAGAGTTTCAAAGAAACAGCTCTGCCCAGGAGCAGCTCCTCTGCACAGCCCAGCAGGGCTGAGGGCACTACCTGCAGCACCGAAGGAAGAAAAGCAAGGCAGAGAGAGGTTGCACACTGCCTGGGCTGGGAGGGAAGTCGAGAGGAAGATCCACTGGAGGACAAATCTTTCCAGGCTTCCTCACGGTGAGTCAGCATGAAGGGCAATGTGTCTGCAGTTGGTGCAAAGATCTCCTAACGCTGGCACATCCCACTCCCTGCTGCACCATCCCAGGCACATCCCAGAAGGATTCCCTTCTCCCAGGGATGGCTGCAGGGTTGTGAAGCCGGGCTGTGCCACCCAGGCTGCCCCAAGCTGTCCTGCAGAGCAGGGTCCTGCAGCCCAGGGCTGTGCCGGGGCAGGAGCTCTGCCACTGCCAGGGGCAGGAGCTCTGCCACTGCCAGGGGCAGCTCTCAACTGGGCTGGGGAGCTCCCTCAGGGCTGGGCAGAGGCTGGGGGTGGAAAGAGCAAAGCCTGGCAGGGCAGGGCAGGTTTCTTCTGCTATCCAGTGAGAGTTTCATGGGTCAGGGCTGTTCACAGAACCAGAGCACCCCAGCATATTTTCCAGGGGATACTTCAAGGGGAACGTCCAAGGAGGGATTTCTCTCAAGCTCTCAAGCCACATGCCTGGTGATTTGAGTTTCAGAGAGAACTCTGAGGAGCTGCCCAGGGCTGAGAACAACTTCCTGGCACTGTTGGTGTCTGGGAGGTGGCACAGCTGGCTCAGGGTGAGGCTGCCCTGAGTGCCCAGTGGGCTCTGCCCTGGCCTCTCCCAGCTGGACCCTCCCTGTGCATTTCCTTGGTTCTCAGCTTGCCCCTGGTCCTGAGGTTGTTCCCTCCTTCTCTCACTCAGGCTCACTGGGGAGGGGAGTTCAAACTACACAGTCCAACACTGATCCTGGGATTCCCCTCAGCAGGTGTGTCCCTGGGAATCAGACATTCCACTTGTCCTCTGCCCTGTGGGGTGTGGGCAGTGAAGTCTGTGGGCCTGGATAAGGAACTCTTTTCCCTCAATCAGACCCCGTTATTAGGACACTTGGTTCTTTTCTGAGGTGTCCTTCCAAGCTGGGAGCTGCCCTCGAGAATGCAAATCATCCTCCCAGCACAGCTGTGTTCTCTGAAAGCCCCAGTGGAGAGGGGCAGAGATGCTGTGCCCATGCCAGGAGAGGCTCTTGGGTTGGGGAGATGAGCCATGGGTGTCCTTGGCTCCAAGTGGGGTGCTGAGCCCTTGAGACAGGCTGGGACATTGAGGGGTGTGGGATGGATCCCTCTGCTCTCAACAGTGTCTGGTGGCTTTTCAGACCCAAAAGGGAGTGTGATCAGTCTCCATCTCAGGAAGGAGCAAAGCCAGGGCAGTTGGGAACAAGAGAGAGGGACAGAGCAGCTCGCCTCAATCTGTACTAAGCCCCAGACAATCCTCCTGCCTGGCAGGACCTGCTCTGTTCTCCCTGAGTGCATCAGTAGTACTGAGGGGTTCTGACATCCAGGAACACTCCTCAGCAGAGATGAGGGAGTAGAAAAAAAAAACCAACAAAACAAACCCAAACAAAACAAAGCTGTGACACTGCCTTCTGCTGTCCTGGTTTTTCTCAGAAACTGGGAGTGCCGATGCTGACAAGCCCTTTTGCACTGGGAGCAGTTTCATCTGACACAGCTGAACACCAGGACAGGCCCCTGTGCCCACCATGCCCATGACCCCACCGGTGCAGAGCAGGACTGACCCTTCACAACCAGTGGGCAGAGGGTCTGCTCCTCATGGAAGATGCAGTGAGCCCCAAACAGGGTTCCAGCCATGGAGCTGGAGGAGAGACTCCTAGAAAAGGAAAACGAATGGAGCAGTGAGAGGGGTGTTGGAAAGCGGCTTTGATTTTTCTTAGAATGTTCTGCACTAACTTGTCACTGTTATTTCCTACTTAAACAGTGCCCCACATCCAGAGGCAACAAATGTCCAACAGCAGCTCCATGCCCCAGTTCTTCCTCCTGCCATTCGCAGACAGGCAGGAGCTGCAGCTCTTGCACTTCTGGCTCTTCCTGGCCATCTCCCTGGCTGCCCTCCTGGCCAATGGCCTCATCCTCAGCGCCGTAGCCTGTGACCACCACCTGCACACCCCCATGGGCTTCTTCCTGCTCAACCTCTCCCTCACAGACCTGGGCTGCATCTGCACCACTGTCCCCAAAGCCATGGACAACTCCCTCCGTAACACCACAACCATCTCCTACATGGGATATGCTGCACAGGCCTTTTTCTTTCTGTTTTTCATCTCAGCAGAGTATTTTTTTCTCAGCATCATGTGCTACGACCGCTACGTTGCCATCTGCAAACCCCTGCACTATGGGACCCTCCTGGGCAGCAGAGCTTGTGCCCACATGGCAGCAGCTGCCTGGGCCACTGGGTTTCTCATTGCTCTGCTGCACACAGCCAATACATTTTCCCTGCCCCTGTGCCAGAGCAATGCCCTGGGCCAGTTCTTCTGTGAAATCCCACACATCCTCAAACTCTCCTGCTCACACTCAGACTACCGCAAGGAAATTGCCTTCTTCTGGCTACTGCCAGTTCATCACTTGCTTGTTTCATTTTCATCGTTTTCTCCTATGTGCAGATCTTCAGGGCTGTGCTGAGGATTCCCTCTGAGCAGGGAAGGCACAAAGCCTTTTCCACGTGCCTCCGTCACCTCACCTTGGTCTCCCTGTTCCTCAGCACTGGCATATTTTCTCACCTGAAGCCCCCCTCCATCTCCTCCCCATCCCCGGATCTGGCCCTTTCAGTTCTGTACTCGGTGGTGCCTCCAGCACTGAACCCCTTCATCTACAGCCTGAGGAACCAGGAGCTCAAGGATGCCCTGAGGAAAACGATGACTGGATGCTTTTCAGGAGCAATAAAGTGCCTGTTTTCTGGTGTGTAGCATTCAGAATGAGACTCTTTAGTAGCCCAGCCTTCCTGCTCAGTTTTTTTGTGGAGGTCATTGTGTTCTTTTTGCAATAATTTTCTGTGCAATTAAATGTTATTATGCATCTGTCTTCTAATTTAGTGTCTACCCACGGAATGTGACCCAGACATGTATAAATGATGAACTGTGCTCTTTGAGTATTTAAACAAAATAAAGGACCCTGCAGTGCCTTCTTTGTCCAAGACCCTTCTTCTCAGATGTTCCTAAAGGACAGCACACTGCAGGACAGGTGTATTTGCAAAGTGAAAGGGGACAATAATCCCAGCCCAGCTGCACTGCCAGGGAGCAGCAGTGCTTGGTCTTTCCAGAGCTGCTCTCTTGCCACTTCCACACTGTCCTCCTGAGCCCCTTTCTCGCTGTAAGGCCTGAGTGCTCTCTGAGCACAGTCCTGGGGGCTGGAAGCCCTTGGAGCACAGGCAGGGACAGGCCCTGGGAACTTGTGAAGCAGAGCTGGGCTCCCTTCCAGCATCTCCAGGATGCTGTGGGATCTTCTGAGGGCACTACATGCACTGGGTACCTTCTTCTGTGACCTTGCTCCAGGGCTGGAACTCTCCTGCAGTGACACCATGACACTCCTGCTCTCTGCTTTCCAGGTTTCATTTTCAGATCCAGTCTTGCCCTCCTGTTCACAGGGGCATCCTGGGAGTGCTTCAGAGCTGCCATCCTGGGACAACTCCTGCCCAGTGTGGGCAGGCACAAGGTCTCTCCACCTGCTCCTCTCACCTCCCCAGTGCCACTGTTTTCTGCAGCCTCCTCATCCCTGCCCAGCACAGCCCTCCTGGCACAGTTGGACACAGTCCTTGTTCTACCCCCTCCTCAGGCACCTGCCCAACCCCCTCAGCTCCAGTCTGATGGCCACAAACCTTCAGGGCAGGGAGGCACCGGGGAAAATGTTGAGCAAACCTTTCAGCTGCACTCAAATCCAATTGGAGGGGTTGGTCTCTAGGAAGAAATCCCTTCTCATTGTCCAGAACCACCAGGACAACCTGTGTTGTGTCCTGGGCACTCCTCTGGAAGTGTGGGCTATAGAAAAGGTTTTGGTGTCAGGGATATTGAGGAGGCTGGGCAGTGTCACTGGGAGACCTCTCCCAAACCCTTGGAAAGGCCAGAGCCATCCCAGAGCTTCCTGGGGCCTTGGTAAAGGCAGACATGGAAGCAGTCTGCAAACAGGGCAGCAAAGAGGGTTGGCAGAGTTCCAGGCTGCTCAGACTCAGCAGGGAAGGGGATAGGGCAAGTCTTCCTGCAGCCATTCCCAGGCATGGGAAGAACAAGGCAAGGATTGCAGAACCCCTTGTGGGAGGGAAAAGAAGAGGATGTTGTGTACCTAGACTTTATCAAGGCCCTTGACATGGTGTCCTGTGGTCTCTTTATGGCCAGACTGGTGAGAGCTGGACTGAAGAAGTGGAAGATGTGGTGGGTGGGAAGTTGGCTGAATGAAGAGGGTCAAATAAAATCCATGTTGCAAAGCCCTCTTGGCAGCAACTTCCTGATGAAATCCCTCAGTGACCAGCCCTTGAACACCAATGCAGAAGATCTCTCTATATAATGGGACACAATACATTTTCAAGTCCTTTGTGGATGATGCCAAATTTCAGGAGCCCTTGAGCAACCTATCTTGATTTCAAGACAAATATTGGGGTAGAAACTCCAACAATATGAACTCGTTCCCCTTTTATTCCTCACCAGTACAAGGAGTCAAAATACAAGGTTAGTATAAGTGGAAAAACAACAGTTTACTGACAATATAACAGTAAAAACAGCAATACCAACAGAATTGATCAAACCAACAACAGAGAGAGAAATCACATCATCTTTCCTCCTGTCCTGAACACCTATAATCAGCACGTGCTTCCCTTCCCCTTTTACATCCAGGGGAACAAAGAACAAAAATAAAACCAGGGGAAAAAGACGGCAAAGCAAAATCTAGAAAACTCTCTGGTCTGAGATCAGTTGTGCTGCCCAAGAACACGCTGACTCCAGAGGTGTCCAAGCGGGGCACAGCCGGCAACTCCGGTCCGTACAGCAAGGTGGGGGAGGCAGCGGCTCTGCTTGATTCCATGGAGTTCTGGGGAGGCACAGTGGCCCCTTGGTTCCAGGAGGTTCTGAGATGTCTCAGGGTTCCGTTTGTTTCAAAGAGACCCCGCATGTCACAATGGTCCCTTGGTTCCATGAGATTCCACAGTGTCCCTGCATTCCTTTCATTCCGTGAGGCCCTGCAGTGTCACGGTGCCACTTGATTCCATGACTTTAAAAAGAATCAGAATGGCCCCTTGATTTAAGGCCAACTGTACATGGGGCTGCCTTGGGGGGGGTGTGGGCACCAGGGAAGGGAGTTGTCACCCCTCTGGACTCAACCCTGGGGTCACCACATCTGGACTGGTCTGTCTGGGTGTGAGGAATGAGGAATAACTGGAGAGGAACTAGAGGAGATCAGACAGGATGGAGCTTTTCTCCTTATTGGAAATAGAATGAAATCTCCACAATGAGTAGCATGGAAGGTTCAGACTGAAGGTGAGGAAAAAGAAATGTCACTCAATGAGGACCCTTGTGCTGCAAGAGGTCACCCAGAAGGAGTCAGGATCAGCCCATGGCTTTGTGCTCCAGGGAACAGCCAGAGCTGGTGCAGAGACATCAGGGAGGGTCTAGAAATGCTGCTGGGACGGGGTGGGAAAGCAGGAGGGGTGTGTGCAGCCTGCAAGGCCAGAGGAGCAGCAGGGCCAGGGCAGGACAGCCTGCAGGAGAGATGGCCAAGGGCTCTGGTAGGGCTGCAAGGCCCAAAGGCACACAGGCCTTTGTCCCCTTGCCTCTGGCAGCTGCCTCTGCCACTCAGGCCACCACAAGCAACTTGCCTGGCAGGTTCTGCACTTGGTTTCTGCCTCGCCCCTCCCTCAGGAGCCTGGCAGGGGTTGCCCAGTTTTGGGCCTTTGTTGTTCCTCCCCCTCCCATCCCACTGCCCCCCAAACAGCCCTGAGCCAGCTGGGAGGGAGAGGATCTGCTGGACCAGGGCCTGGGGCTCAGACCTTGGCCTTTGTGCTCCACAAAACCAAGGCAGGCTTTGCTCAGCATTGCAGGGGCCTGCCCAGAGCCTTTGTCTGCCTGCACTCCTGGCCTCCAAGGAGCTGCTCCAAGGAGTCCCTGGGGAGGCTTTGTCAGTGCCTGCCCTCAGTGGGGCCCAGCAATGCTTCAAGGCACTTGCAGTTTGGCTTCTGACTTCTTCAGCAGCTGCTTCAATCTTCTCTTAGTACCTCAGGATCATGGGCTGGGCTGCAAACACACCGTGGGGCTCATTAAATTCCAGAAATCCCTCAGGATCTCTTTGTCTTCCTTTAATTGTCTTCAAGGCAATTGCAAAACAAGTCTTCCAAGTTTGTACTTTTTTTGTTTTAATTCAATTATGGACATTTTTTAGTTCAGAGAAGAGGTGATAGAGGTGTTCTCCAAGTGATCTTGATGCTGAGTGTCTCCTCAGGAGATCCACACTGACCCTGGATGATCAACCTTGCTCCTCATCCCCCAGCCTCGCCAGTTCTGCCATGGCCCATCTTGGACTGACAGCTGATGCAGCTCCAAACACACTGTGGGACCCATTAAAACACTGAAAACCAAATTATTTTTCTTTCTTTAATTGTCTTCAAGACGTCAACAACAAATTGGAGTTGTTTTGTAGTTTAGCTAAGCAGGAAGATTTTAAAGTGGATGTCACGAAAAATATATATACTTTTATGAAAGGGAATGATTTACACAGACCCTTGGGTTGCAAGAGGGTCAGGGTGCAAAGGATTTGGATCCAAAACAAGGGGGGCAAAAGAGATTAGTAGCACTTAATCATTGACCAGTTGAGCAGTT